CCAAACTCTTTCTGATTTGGACTCACCCCAAGGACTTTGATCTCTGTCATTAGGCATTTCGCCAGGCTATCCTGTCTTGGGTTGGTGGGTTTGGGTTTCTCTGTTTGGGGGAACTTGAAGTCATTTGGTGCAAGGATCACAATAGTCTCATTGGGAGTGTGCTGTGATATCATGACGTTGCTGCCAATGCTGGAAAAAAAACAAAATCAAAAACAAAAACAAATTCAGCCTGACTACCTTACTTGACTTAAAATGTACAGGGCTCCTAGTTTCTGGCCTCCCAAAACTGTTAAACTTGGTAGTCTACAGGTGATCTGTTCTTTAGGGAGGGAGACTAACAGTATGGAGCAGGAAAACCTTAAAAGCTTGGTGTCATAAGAAGTTTTCGACAATGTTTGGCATAGATTTTCAAGATCTATCCTGAAGTACAAGGCTGTCAGTGATAGGAAATACCATATGCCTACAAGGAAGACCAGTTAATATGACTATTATTTAAATTTATGCACCAGCCACTAATGCCAAAGATGAAGAAACTGAAGATTTTTACCAACTTCTTCAGTGTGAAGTTGATCAAACATGTGATCAAGATGCCCTGATAATTACTGGTAATTGGAATGCCAAAGTTGGAAACAAAGAAGAAGGATATTTAGTTGGAAAATGGCCTTGGTGATAGAAACGACCTTGGCGATTGCATGATAGAATTTTGCAACACCAATGACTTATTCATTGGAAATTTCTTTCTTCAACAACATAAATGGTGACTATACATGTGGACCTCACCAGATAGAAAGCACAGGAATCAAGTTGACTACATCTGTGGAAACAGACTATGGAAAACTCCATATCATCAGTCAGAACAAGGCCAGGGGCTGACTGCAGACTAGATCATCAATTGCTCACATGCAAGTGCAAGTTGAAGCTAAAAAAAAAAAAAAAAAATCTATGAGAGCCCAAATACGGCCTTGAGTATATCCCACATGAATGTGGAGACCATCTCAAGAACAGATTTGAAGCATTGAAAACTAATGACTGAAGACCAGACGAGTTGTGGGATGACATTAAGACATCATACATGAAGAAAGCAAAAGGTCATTAAAAAGACAGGAAAAAAAAAAGTCCAAAATGGATGTCAGAAGAGACTCTGAAACTTGCTCTTGAATGTAGAGTAGCTAAAGTGAATGGAAGAAATGATCAAATAAAAGAGCTGAACAGAAGATTTCAAAGGGCGGTTCGAGAAGACCAAGTAAAGTATTATAATGAAATGTTCAAAGACCTGGGGTTAGAAAACCAAAAGGGAAGAACATGCTTGGTATTTCTCAAGCGGAAAAACATGAAGAAAAAATTCAAGCCTTGAGTTGAAATTTTGAAGGATTCTATGGGTAAAATATAGAATAATGCAGGAAGCATCAAAAGAAGATAGAAGGAATACACAGTCACTGTACCAAAAAGAATTGGTGGAACTTTAACTATTTCTGGAGTTATCGTATGACCAAGAGTCTATGGTATTGAAGGAAGAAGTCCAAGCTGGATTGAAGGCATTGGGGAAAAACAAGGCTCCAGGAATTCACGGAATACCAACTAAGATGTTTCAACAAATAGATGTAGCCCTGGAGGTGCTTACTAGTCTATGGCAAGAAATTTGGAAGACAGTTACCTGGCCAGCTGGGTGGAAGAGATCCATATTTGAGCCCATTCCAAAGAACGGTGATTCAACAGAATGTGAAATTTATCGAGCAACGGTGGCACAGTGGTTAAGCGTTTGCTGTTAACCAAAAGGTAGGCAGTTCAAATCCACCAGCCATTCCTTGGAAACCCTACGGGGAAGTTCTACTCTGTCCTGTAGGGTCGCTATGAGTTGCAATCAACTCGACAACAACAGGTTTTTTTTTTCAGATCATTAATATCACATGCAAGTAAAATTTTGCTGAAGGTAATTAAAAAACAGTTGCAGCAGTACATCGACAAGGAACTGACAGAAATTCAAGATGTGTTCAGAAGACTACATGGAATGAGGAATATCATTACTGATGTCAGATGGATCTTGGCTGAAAATAGAGAATACTAGAAAGAGGTTTACCTGTGTTGTATTGACTATGCAAAGGCATTTTACTGTGTGGATCATAACAAATTATGGATAACAATTGAAGAATGGGAAGTCCAGAACACTTAACTGTGCTCGTGTAGAACCTGTACATAGACCAAGAGGCAGTCACTTGAACAGAACAAGAAGATACTGCATGGATTAAAGTCAGGAAAGATGTGTGTCAGGGTTGTATCCTTTCACTATACTTATTCAATCTGTGTGCTGAGCAAATAATCTGAGAAGCTGGACTATATGAAGAAGAACGGGGCATCAGGATTGGTGGTAGACTCATTAACAACCTGCATTATGCAGATGACACAACCTTGCTTGCTGAAAGTGAAGAGGACTTGAAGCACTTACTGATGAAGATCAAAGACTACAGCCTTCAGTATGGATTACATCTCAACATAAAGAAAACAAAAATCCTCACAACTGGACCAATAAGCAACATCATGATAAATGGAGAAAAGATTGAAGTTGTCAAGGATTTCGATTTACTTGGATCCACAATCAATGCACATGGAAGCAGCAGTCCAAAACCAAATGACCATTGGGCAAATCTGTTGCAAAAGACCTCTTTAAAGTGTTAAAAAGCAAAGATGTCACTTTGAGGACTAAGGTGCTCCTGACCAAGCCATGGTGTTTTCAATCGCTTCATATGCGTGTGAAACCTGGACAATGAGTAAGGAAAAACGTAGAGGAATTGATGCACTTGAATTACGGTGTTGGCAAAGAATATTGAATATACCATGGACTGCCAAAAGAACGAACAAGCCTGTTTTGGAAGAAGCTCAGCCAGAGTGCCCCTTAGAAGCAAAAATGTTGGTACTTCATTTCATGTACTTTGGATATGTTATCAGCAGGGACCAGTCCCTAGAGAAGGGCATCATGCTTGGTAAAGTAGAGGGTCAGCAAAAAAGGGGAAGACCCTCAATGAGATGGACTGACACAGTAGCTCCGACAGTGGGCTCAAACACAGCAATGATTATGAGGATGGCACAGGACCGGGCAGTGTTTTGTTCTGTTGTACATAGGGATGCTATCAGTGGTAACCGACTCTGGGTCACCTAACAACAACAACATCTGTTACAGGAAATAAACAACATCCCAGAAACCAACAGCATGAATCTCGAGAGGTTCCAATGTTCAGAGGCAAATAGTCACAGAAGATTGTTTTCAATACAAGGGATAATCTTCATTTCCCCTAGTCCCACCTATAATGACTACATTCCCATATGCTGAATGAATTTCAGCCTTAACCTACCCCACCAGTCATGAGATGTGATAAGTGTTCTGTTTTCAACTTTTCCTTCTCAGGTTCTGTAGTATTCAGACTATCTAAGTCTACTTGTTTTAGTTTAGTAATATTGATTAGCATTAATGCTAGTTATGTTTGTTATTATTTTTGCTAGTCATTATCCTATAGTGCCTTCAATCCTTACAACCCTACATGTCAGTTTGTTAGTTATTAAAATGATATAATAGTTATGGAAACTCTCAGTCAGAAAGTGTGTTATGAATGGAAATGATATACACTTTGCATATATGATGGTATAGAGTTAATGCTTAAGGAATATTTGTGGTTATAATTATTTCTAAGCCAAATTCACACAATGGAAATCTGTAGAACCAGGGTTTTACCCAGTTATCCCAAATCTGAAACTTTCGCACAATTCTCTAAATCCTGCCACCACTTCCTATCCCATCTTACTTTTCTCGTGACAATGGCAGCTTTGTGTCTCAGTTTATTCAGTCTGAGATGCAGCTGTACATGATTGCATGCGAACATAACCTTAAACCTAGGTTCAAGGTCACTTGTTAGCCTTAAAGATCGAGTTGTCTGTGGTATAAGCTGCAGAGCTCGGCTTAGCTCTCTTTTCCCTGCACCACTCTCAGCCCATGGACTCCGCAATTTGCATAATAGCCTGAGAACATCTGAAGGTACCAGCCCTCTGCTCCCACTGATTGTGAGACTCTGGGCAAGGGACTCACCAAAATCACACAGTTAGAAAACAGCAGAAACAGTAAAAATCAGATACTCCTTCTTCCTGCCCATTCTATTTCCAAAATGCTCTAGTGTCTCTTAACGGCACTCAAGGAGCTTCAAGTTAAATAGCCCCTCTAATGAGGTCACAGCAAGGGAGCTGTGAGCTGAGAAATTCTTTCTGCATTGCCTACCTGTTCCTGTGGACCAGGCAGTGGGTTCCAGGAGAGCTCTCAGAAGTTCCCAGGAGACTTTAGCTCTGGGTTCTCATACCGTCCTGCCAGCATTTCCTACTTGTCATCGTCTTCTGAGACCCTTAGTTCCTCCTCAGTCCAGTGTTCACGGGTACACAGGATGTCATGTGTGTGATGTTTACAGATTGCGGATTTGTGAAATATGCCTGCACTTCCTTTTTACTAAATTCCTGGCATGTCTGACATAGTACAAATAGAACCAACTAATGATTGGGAGAGCATGGAAGTCATGCAACTCTATGTGTGAATTGGCTTCCCAATACTTACTAGCCCCTTGTTATTAGACAAGCCTGCATTCTTCTTGGAGCCTCGATTTCTTAATCTGTTAAGTAGTAGTAACACTGGAGAGTTGCT